GCGGTGTGTCTGTGGACCCAAGAGAGTTAATAACACTCACCTTCATTCCATTTCCAGAATGCAGCAACCAACCACACAAAGTAGAGTTCATTGTACTCTAACTAGCGTCACATCCTTTTAATCCTTTTTTTATGGAGTGAACCACCACTCACAACCACTAGCACTTTATATAGCCTCTGTAGAAATTATCCACAGCCTCACTTATCTTAACTGCACTACTGTATAGCTCTGTGTAAATAATCATTCTGTACATACGAAAATTTTTAACCCTACAACTGTTTTTCAACTTGCATAGTTCCCATTTCTGTATAGCTGTATATCTCAGATTCCTGTAAAGTTATTTATTTCATATTCTGTATAATTTCTCATAAATATATCCTGTTCATAGCCTGTACATAGCTTGTACTCACTACAGCCTGTACATACTTATAGTTATAGAATATTCACAATGTTTAGATCATGAAACATAAAGTCATCACTGCTTCACTGCTTGAAGCCTGAAACCTACCCCCCACAAAAACCGAGCAAACAGCAGTAGCAGATGTGCTGACTGGGACCTACAGGTTAAAATTTAGATCCCTTGAGAGTTTTGTGCACACGGTTTAGGTAAACATGAAAAAGACTGAGGTTTTAAGTTAATTTTGGCATTAACTATTAATAACTGCACAATTTAATTTTATTGAATCTCCACACAGGATATATTTGCGAAGGTGGAATACGGTGGAAAGATTCTAATAAAAGCAACAGCATTTTTCCATATTGTTACATGTTCTAGAAAATGTTTTGAAATTGTGGTACACAGTTCAAAATAAAGGTTTTTCAGAAAAACATTGCATCTTTTTAATAAATATTTATTTATTAAAGTTCTTAAAGTTCAGAACAGTAAAATTTACACCGTTTAGAAATAATTAAAAGATAACTCTTGCGTAGTTAAAATAAAATACTCTATGAGAGTTAATATATAAACTCTTAACATCTAGTTAGCATTAATAGGATGTTAAATTATCAACTCCAGATTTGGTATTTAACACTAAATTGTCTTGATGCATGGTCAATTATCCAGGTAAGTAAACCTCCAAACGTTGATTCTGTTCTTGCTTGAAAATATCTTAAAAGTTTATTTTATGACCCAGAAAGAGTAATATTTCCTCTGCCATTGCTGCACTTGACAAATAGTTTTATCAAAAACAAAAAAGACGTATAATGATTTAATTAATAAAATATTGAAAAGAGTAATATTACAACAAAGTATCTGCCGCTATTCTTGGAAACTGGAATTGGCCGGGCTGCGCAATGAATTCTGGGATTTGACTCTTAAAATGTAATAAATAAAAAGTTATTTTAAAAAAATCTTAAAATGTTATTCTACAGAGTTTGCAGCAATTTAATTTGTTTATTTTTTTAGCTGATAGTCTGTGGGACCCAGGAAGACTGTATACCTGCATCTCTACCAGTTTCTGTGCACTCCAGCCTCTTCTGTTCCATGTGAGAGGATTTTCTCTCAGGCAGGAGAAATTATGTCCAAGAAAAGAAACCGACTTGGGGATCGCACAGTGGAACAAGTTCTCTTCTTAAATAAAAACCAAACACTATGACCTTAAATCCATCATGTTTTTCTTTACAAGTTCAGAAGCATTTTCCCTCTTCAGTTCATAATCAATTCTACCCACAGGTCAAAAATAGGAAATTGGCCTAATATAATATTACTTATAAACATACCTTTCCAGCTGTCCAGTGATTAATTGCATAAGTACATGGAGGCAGGACCTCACAGCAGATGCATACTCCATAATGTGTTGTACATTATTATATGTAAATTAATGTATTTTTTATATATTGTATTTACCAACATCAAGAAGTCACACACAAAGAAAGACCACACCATGTTACACCTTGAAATAAGGAAAGTTTATTGATCAAATGTATTCATTAACCCTTTAAAGCCGGTCGGAGTAGGAACGCTCTGTTTTGCATAACTATTTTTACCACGTAAGCTAGCGCAATAATTTGTTTTGCATATGAAACCGGAGGACTTGGACTTACATCTTATGCCATCAGCTTGCCCTAGGTCATGGTTTCCTTCCACATATAGCTTTGCAAAAACTGCATAAAAAGCGCTTGCAGCAACAAAAACATAATATTCCAGAAACACGCTTTGCCGATCCGATCAGCTGTTCGTAACACTTTCTACGTTAAAATAGACGTCAGCGCAAACTATCGCATGTCTGCCATTACCTGCCCAAAACCGGAAGTGACGTCATTTTGCGGAAATGTAGTTTTTTTAATTTCAGGGTCTCATAGTCTATACTGGTGTTTTTAAAAGTTATCTTGACTTCTTTCTTGTGCAAATTTGCTTATATTTATTTTCGTTTTTTCCTGCAGTATAAAAATTGGTGTATTTCAAAAATAAAACTATGAAGACACTCAAAATAAATTTCCTGTGGTGGGAAACTATTTGTGCAACTTTTTTGTATTTACAGTTTTGAGGGATAAGCCTCTTAAATTTCTCTAACTAGAAATATATGTTAAAAAAAAAAACACGATTTTCAATTTTGTAGTTTATTGCACTTTTTTGCAATTTATGTAGTTACTATGCACTTAATGCATACATATTATTAAAATTTGGGCTATAATGGTTGTATTGATGTATAGCAACTTGAAATGCTCCCAAAAATGGCACTACAGCATGTAAAAATACAATATCTGGCGGACTTGGTTCTATGGTAGGTCTTAAAGGGTTAAACAAATAGACTTTTTTTTTTTACCCATAAAAATACATGTTCAAAATAACACAAGGTTTGCCCAGTATCAGACAGAACTCCACTCTGTAGAGTGGACAGTCATAATGAAGCAGTTCATTTTATTTTGCAAATTCAAGCTGTTCTTCATATTTTTGGCCACCAGATGTCACCAGAGATAACTGTGTTGAAAAGCTTTGGGTAATGAACTGTTTTTCTACTCAAGCCCCAGAAAGCTTCATTTGGCCATCACTATCAAAATATCACTTTCTTTATTCAGAATTCTACCTGAACCTCATTAGTCTCCACCATTAAGAAATAGGTTAGACCAAACAACACAATCTAAAGAAAGAAATGGGAATAAAGGTCATTCATCCAATTGACAAAGTCAATAATATAGGTAAATGGTTTGAAAAGTATAACACTGCATACAGTACAACTCAAAAGCTTACTTTAAAGAAAATAAACAATACTACACAAAAGGAAAAACCCTTCATTTGGTTGTATCCAGCGATGCAATTGAAGATATCATGTCCTTATATAAACAGGAAGTGCTTGGTCGGCCCCTCGCACACATCTGTTTTGGATTTAGGCCTAGAAGAAAGGGACAATCATATGGAGTGTGTAGCCAAAGCAATAAACAAACATAATGTACCAGAAATTTACCTGTCAACAGAAGAAAATTCAAATCACCTGATGGTTGAGTAGTATTTGTTTTAAAAGCGTATGCATGGATGTAAACTGTAATATGATGCTCTCTGAAAATGTGGAAGCACTTTTGCAAATATGTGATATTTTGATAAATTAAGTAGATATTTGAGCATTACACAGCTACATTCTCGCCTGAAAATATCTTAAAGGGTTATTTTGTAACCCAGAAAGGGTAGTCTGGGGAAAAGGAGGATCACATTTGTCGGCCGTGGTTGTCCAAGCCTGTGCGGACTTGTAAGCGCGGCAGTGGCGGAGGAGCGCAGCTAAAAACCCTTTAAATATTACTTTTTCTGGGTCACAAAATAAACTTTTAAGATATTTTCAGGCGAAAATGTAGCTGTATAAAGTTCAAACATTTGTTCGATTTATCAAGACGTCACATATTTGCAAAAATGCTCACACGTTTTCGGAGAAGTCTATTTTTTTCATGCTTTGTGTCAGGTTTTGAACTTCTGTGGCATCTATCAATGTCAAATCTAGCCTTTCTTTAACAACATAAGCAAACTGCTTTTATATTTAACTGACTTTTCTGTTTCATTACATTTTAAATAATAATAATAACAATTGTATTTATTTTTTTTTTTAATTTTTTTTAAAAACAAGTTTTGTTGAGAAAGCTATAATCCAGATTTGTAATTAGTAATATAGCTTGTCCTTGTAAAGAATTAAGTTAAATTCCACAGTTGAATCATAAGAAACATGGTGTTACATATAATCCCTGCCATATGTTAGATCTGATCATTTTGCTTATCAGAAACTTTATATATTGGAAGTTAACTTTTAACAAGCATGTAATGTTTATATTTAAATTAGGTGGTCTTTTTTCAAACACATATCTCTTCAGGCCTAAACTGACCGTGCCGATACCACACATTCAGACACAGTAGTAGATGGTGTTTTTAACACCGTATGTGTTAGTCTAATTTGGTTGTATGGGGTCTACATTGACCTTCTGTGTTGTAAGTTATAGTGATTGCACAGCCATTAAGGATCAAATCAGCTTCTAAAAAACGTTCTGTGTTTTCTCCCTCTGCTTGCTTCTTACTGTCTTTGAGGCTCGGGACCAGCACTTCTGCTGTTGTAAGTATTTTGGTTTTCCAATATATTAGTAACTGTCAGTGACATTTATATTAATCAGGCTGAACTTTAATCATATGGAGAACTTCAAGGCATGTTGAGGATGTCATTTAACCATTTAAATCAGTGTTGGATCAAGGACACGTCTAAAACCTGCAGGACACCAGCCCTCGAGGCCTGGAGTTGGACACCCCTGACCTATGTTGTCTGTTCCTAGAACTTGTACAAGCTTAGTTTAATAGGAAACAAATGGAAATAACTTTATTTTCCTAATGATTTGCATTATGATGAGACAGAGTCACCTTTTGGTCACCTTCGCGTTTCTTTAAGCCCTGAGGCCTATCATTTCCGTTTCAGGGAAACATTGGTAGGGTTACATGATCATTGTTGGTCAGTTGATTGTTGGTGAATGTATTTATTACATTGTACATTCCTGTAGAAAGAACAGAAGCAACATTAAAAAGATAAAATTAAATCCACTGTCCTCGGGCCCAGAAAGGTGTCTCATCCTGTTGTCAGAAAGTAAACTTGTATTTGTGTTTCAAATAGGGACACCCAAATTCTGCAGAAAGCTCACTCCCTTCAGGTGTCCTTATTTGACAGTAAAATATGTGTGAAGAACAAAGGGAAAAACTCTTTGAACATCAGCTTTGATCAGCAGATGAAAAGATATGTTGTCAGGTAAGTCATTAATTTATTACTCTGATTTAAACATTTTGAAATAGACACGTTTTGGGTGTCCAATTGTGTCAAGACTAAAGATCTCTAAATTATAGATTTTAAATATTCAAACAGTATTGCATATAATTAATTTAGACATGTGCACCAAACTTGATACTAAGAAACCTATTATAAGGACAACTTGTTTTACTGGAGATAATGCATGTTAAAATTGTTGATAATAATTATGGTATAATGTTCACTATATCTGTTATACAGATGCCAAGAATGGAAGAAACCTGTTTACTGCTCATCCTGCTGCTCTCAGGTCTGTGATATTAATATTTTAAACATTTGAAATATAGTCCATGATCATAATGAGATAAACCGATGTCATTTGGGTAATCAGATTACATGATATTTTTTTAATGAGATATTTATTAACACATTTAACACAAGGACAGAGAAAATCTGCATTTTCTGATACCACAATACTTGCATTCATTTTAAATGTAAGTTCTTTATTTTTTCACATTTAGGTTTTTGATTTATTGAAAATTTGGGGGTTTATTTTTGTAATAATAAATCTAACGAACTTCATGTTTTGGCTGCTTCATTGGGGATCAATATGTATCTGCTTCTAGTTGTTTTTCTCCTCGTTCTAAAAAATAACCACATCCTGATGTATTGCTGGTGCTGGTCCTAAGCCCAGATTAAAGGGGAGAGTTTTATCACGATGTTGTATCAAGATGCCCAAATAGACTCGTTCTTACAGTGGTATAAAATATTGTTTGCGTTCTCTCCGATTTTCTATTTTTATGTTTATCACACTTAAGTGTTTCACATCATCAAACTAATTTAAATTTTAGACAAAGATAACACAAGTAAACACAAAATGCAGTTTCTAAAAGGAAGATCTTTATTATTAAGAGGAAAAAAATCTTGTGTGAAAAAATAATGGAACATGAACAACAAAGTAATTAAGATCTCTCAGGGCTCTAACTTTTTGCCACAGTTGCACTGGTGCATCTAACTTCTTTTCTTAGGCGAACCAGCACAAAAGTTAAGTGCACCCAAATTTTTCAACCGCATTGCTTAACACCGCAGTTTTATGTGTTCACTTTTTTGCAGGGGAAAATTGTTGTCCATACAGACAATATTAATTTGTAAATGATTAACTAACAATCTTGTCAACACAAAGATCTTTATTTGGTTTTACAAGAAAGAGAAGTTACTTAAAAAGTGCTTGTGCTTTAATAATAATAATAATAATAGTAATAATGGATTGCATTTATATAGCACTTTTCGAGAACCTCAAAAGCAGTACACAACAAACAGTTCTACTATTCATTCTCTCACATTCACACACTGGTGGAGGCAGCTACAGTTGTAGCCACAGCTGCCCTGGGGCAGACTGACAGAAGTGAGGCTGCCATATCGCGCCATCGGCCCCTCCGGCCAACACCAGAGTGCTTTGGCACTTTTTGGCAATGTTTTGTAGACAATGTTAAACTTAAACTTAATCATCACATCAGCCTCCTCTGACGGCCGGTTTGCTGCTGCCTGCCGCTGAAAAGCAGTGTGGAGAGAGGTCATTTGGGCAGTGCATTTATTGCTGCATATAATGTTTTCTGGCTTTACTGTGCTTTTTCAACGTTCAGAGGTTGATGGCTCCATGTCGGAGCACTGGCTATGAATTTCAGACAGATCAGGCCTTAACAGAAAAAGTTAGCAATAGTTCTTTTCATCTTTTCTTATTACCCACAGCTACATCCACTTCTGTTGGGGTTAGGCTACTCACTAGGGCTGGGTATCATCACTCAATTCTGATCATTTATCAGTACTGACACTTGTGAGACTTCATCAGAGGTGTGAGCATCACAGCAGTTTCCTTTGTGTCAAAGTAACTGAGGATAAAACAGAAAAATATGAAGGAGATTTTCCTGGCCTGGCTTTTCATAGCAGATAACCTTAAAAAATATACTGCAGTAGATCAAAAACTGAAGAAAACCATGGATCAATAAAAAAAGAAGAAAGACAGTGGCCGACAGCGCTGTAAACAACGGTAGACTGCTGGGTAATAAGCAAGTGAATAATTCAAAAAACAGAGATTTGAGATGGGAAACTGTTCTTAAAGTACACAGAGAGGGAGAGCTGTGTATGAAGTGTGATTTTATCATGGTGGAAGCAAAACAGCGAAAGGGAATTAATGACGATGTTTATCAAATGTGAAGCGTAGTTTGGATCTTCTCTTGCTGCTTGTTCAGTAAATTTTGGTTGGAGAGAGACAAAACCTGCAGCATCAGAATCTAGCGCAAAGAAGATGTAAACACAAAGCGCGGTCCCGCCCCTGACCATCTCTGATTGGTTTAGTCCAGAGCTTCCCAAAGCATGTTCCCGCCCCCTAGGGGTGCGCAGAGCCATTGCAGGGGGGGGGCTCAGTATAAAAAGGAAAGAAAAAAAAGCACTTGGACACTGCTAGCATAATTGACAGATTTTTGACGGGCACCCACACAAATGCAAAGGAGGAGATGAAGCATCCCTGAATATGAATTCAAATATTTTTCTTGTAAAACAAAGGCGGCCTAGCAAAAAAAGTTTAAGTTCGGGAACCACTGGTTTAAACCATGATATGGGCATAATGTGTGTCTCTTGTTGACCACACGGAGACTTGCAGAATTGCGGACACTTTTTTGTTTTCTTTTTACTCAAACAGCGGTATCACCTAGTATTTATTTTTTTTTATTTTTTTTGAGGCACCACTGAAAAATTAAGTCTCTACTCTAGAGCCCTGTCTTTCAGTCTGGAAAAGGACAAAAGACTAAAGCTGTAGGCCTCCAGCAAACCAAAGTGAGAGCCATTACACACAAATGGTGAAAACACGGAACAGTGATGAATCTTCCCAGGAGTGGCCGGTCGGCCAGAATTATCCCAAGAGATCCAGTATGTATTCTGAAGGATAGGACTGACATAATGAATTAATCAAATACACCATTAAATAATTAATTAAATGTGGCAATGACTAATTAAAATGATAAATAATTAATTAAATAAATATTTATTACGCATTTAATTAATTAATTATTGACATATTTAATTAATTATTTAATTGTGTATTAATTTAGTTAATTCTGGCAGACCTGACTCCTTCAGCTCTCATCATAAATTTATTTTATCTGTCAGCCTCTCCCATCAACCTCAGGAGGTGGGGTTACCGCTGATCTAAACCAATGAAACCATTGCTTTGGCCTGATGGCCATTTCTTTTGGAAGGTATTTTTGTTTAATAATCAGCGTGACCTGTGTTTAAACTTTATTAAAAGAGATAACGTTGGTGTTTCCGCGAGTTAGTAACTGTTTGCTTTAACTGTACAAAGGTTGTTCGACACTATGAAACACATACGGACTTCATGATGTTCGGCTAATATTTTTATTGTGAATATTAATCATGAGGGTAAAGGGTCCTGTACACCACGGAGCGAGGTCAGCATGTCCACGATATCTTCAGCTCTATGAGTTTCCCAACTCGGTCACATGAAAGTGTTGGCAGCATCAAACTAAACTAACGGTCATCTACGAATTCACGGGTCACATTATTTTAATGAAAATCTTCTCTATTACTGTCAACAATTCCCGTAACATAATACATAATAATAAAATCAATAACATAATCAATATACATAATCAATAACATAATACACTGTAACAGAGATGAATTCATCAGTTTGTCACAGGTCAAAGTGGATGAAATTGATTGGTTGAACAGGTTTTCGTGATCTGTGTTATCTGCATTTTCGTCAGAGACTCAGCAGCAGATTAGAATCCAGTATAATAACTTTTCTTCTTTTTTAAAAATAATTTACCAAATGAATGATTCGACACAGCGAACACCATGAGACCGGACAGTGTGCGCACCGCGGATGACGTCAGCGCGCACACTGTGTCTGAGGAGGATGTGCGGAAGTGCTTCAGGAAGGTGAACGCGCGCAAAGCTACTGGTCCGGACGGGATTCCCGGCCGCGTCCTCAAGTCATGCGCGGCTCAGCTGGCTGGAGTGTTCACGCACATCTTCAACCTTTCCCTCTCTCTGTCTGTAGTCCCAGCCTGCTTCAAAATGGCCACCATCGTCCCTGTACCCAAATCCTCCACCATCTCCTCATTGAACGACTGGCGACCTGTAGCCCTGACCCCCATCGTAAGCAAATGCTTCGAGAAGCTGGTCAGGGACTTCATCCGCTCTGCACTACCCGACTCACTGGACCCTCTACAGTTCGCATACCGCCACAACAGGTCCACTGATGATGCCATAGCCCTGACACTACAACTGCCCTGTCACACCTGGAGAAGAGAGACACGTATGTGAGAATGCTGTTTGTAGATTACAGCTCAGCATTCAATACCATCGTTCCCTCGAAGCTGGACAGGAAACTGCAGGATCTAGGACTGAGCAGCTCCCTCTGCAGCTGGATCCTTAGCTTCCTGTCTGACAGACGCCAAGTGGTCAGACTGGGCAGCATCACCTCATCCCCCATCACACTGAACACTGGTGCTCCACAGGGGTGTGTACTGAGCCCTCTCCTGTACTCACTCTACACCTACGACTGCACAGCCACTAACAACTCCAACATCATTGTGAAGTTTGCGGACGACACTACAGTGGTGGGTCTTATCACCAACGGTGATGAGACGGCTTACAGGGAGGAGGTCAGCGCCCTGACCCACTGGTGTCAAGACAACCATCTCACCCTCAACGTCGCAAAGACAAAGGAGTTGATAGTGGACTTCCGGAGGTGCAGAGAAGTACACACCCCCATCACCATCAACGGCGCTGCTGTGGAGAGAGTGAGCAGCTTCCGTTTCCTGGAGTACATCTGGCTGAGGATCTTACGTGGTCAGTACACACAAACAAAACAGTGAAGAAGGCGCAGCAGCGCCTCTTCTTTCTCAGGAGACTGAAAAGATTCGGCATGAGCCCCCGCATCCTCAGGACCTTCTATCACTGTGCCATTGAGAGCATCCTCACTGGATGCATCACCACCTGGTATGGCAACAGCACCGCCTACAACCGCAAAGCTCTCCAGCGAGTAGTGCGGTGCTCTGAACGGATAATTGGAGGTGAGCTTCCCTCCCTCCAAGACATCTACAGGAAGCGGTGCCTGAGGAAAGCGGGGAGGATCATCAAGGACTCCAGTCACCCCAGCCATAAACTGTTCAGACTGCTTCCATCAGGAAGGAGGTTCTGCAGCATCCGGTCCCGTACCAGCAGACTGAGAGACAGCTTCTTCCATCAGGCCATCAGACTGCTGAACACGTCATAGACACCTCAGCTTCACTACTGGAACTTAACATTATGCACTCCACACTGTATATAAATGCCACTTGTTTTGCACATATTCAACTCTGTATATTTTATATATTTTATTATTATTATTATTTTTTTTTACTATTTAATTTGTAAAATGTGTATACACACACACACACACACACACACACACACACACACACACACACAGGAAAATGTTTAGTATACACATCCAGAAATGCATACACTATTATATATTGTACATATATTTATTAGTTTCAGATGTAGCCATTCTTGTATTTGCTGGTTTGTGTTGTTGTGTTTGCACATTTCTGTTGCTTGTGGGCTCGCACACAAGAATTTCACTCGCATGTGCTGTGCCAGTGTGCCTGCACATGCGATGTGACAATAAAAGTGATTTGATTTGATTTGATTTGATTTGAATACACATTGCTCCTGTGACAATACCAGGCACTGTTTGCGTAGAGCTCTTGCAGAAACAGAAAGAAAGTGAAAACGTGGCATTTCCAGTTGATTTATGACAGAAACGATCAAACCTGCTAAAAACTTTGAGTTTGTATTCCCTCAGCTGCAGACTCGCTGCTGTTTAAATGTTTGAGAGCGAAGATTAGATACAAAACACACGTCAAACACAGACTACGTAGCCTACACATTTAATATGAGGCCAGCACGTATAGTGGCTGCGTCCTGTTTTAAGATCATATATGTAAGATTGTTGTCTGACCTGTGTCGATACAGCCGCTAAGAGTCCGTGGTTACCATGGTTACTGCAAAAGCAGCTGTGAATTAAACAGCTGACACTGCGGAAATAACATGTTTAGTTTTAAAGACGCCTTCCTGCCTTTAGTCTCATTCATGAGCAGTATTAGTTTTCTTCTCGTTTTTTATGTCACAGAAACACAGAGACACAAGACCAGTCGGAAAGAGATGATCGTTCGGTGAAATAAGAATCTGTGTATGCAACACGTGGAACACGGAGAGTGGAGAGAGTAAACAAACTGGTTAACGTATAAAAAAACAAAAAACAAACAAACAAAAACTGTTAGGATTGAACACCGGGGCTGTGAGCTTGGTGCACTCTGTCAGCTGACTGTTAGCGGAGATAGTGACATCTCTGAAAACATCTGAGCAATTTTGCAAACATGTTCTATGTTGACAACCTGACCAGACATGTGAAGATTAAGCCACTACATTCGCGGCTAAAACACTATTAAAACTTTATGCCGCCGCCATTGCTACCTTTGATTTGAAATGCATTCTGGGATACCTGGCTGCCCCAAGTCCACACAAGCAATCAATTATCTAGGATCGAATTACTTTTCACGGCAACCAATCAGATGTTAGAGAATCTGCAGTGGCATATGTCAGTATAACAGGTAGAGACATGTAGAACCCATAAAAAGCAGTTTAATTAAAACATAATTGTTTGATTAAATTAAAACCACGGGTAAACCATATGAACTCAAGTGAACCTACAACTCACATGAACGAGCTGTTATTGGGACAGGTGCACACATACACACACGCACATGAACCCACACGGTGGGTGAGGGGGTAAGGTTGAATGAAACGTTTCTGGCTAGGTAGCACAGCTCAATAGCTGGGGTTCCTCCTCCACCTCTAGTTATTCTCCATATAGTTTGACTATTTAAATGGTTATAATTTTTATTTTTTTAAATTTGTCCTTTTCAGTGATTCACCCAAGAACCCAGTTTACACAATTGAAAACCTTTGTTTCATTTTTCTCAGGAGGACTTTCCACTCTTCCTCCCCACTCCAGAGAATACCACTTTGTGAACCAGCTGATGACCTGGACTGAAGCTCAGAGTTACTGCAGAGAACACTTCACTGACTTGGTCACCATCTACAACAGCAACATCAACCAACTGCTTTTCTCAATTTCACCAAGGATCAATACTTGGGCTTGGATAGGGCTCTATGATGATCGTTACAGCTGGAAGTGGTCCATGGAGGGAAAACTTTTTTATGTTGGCAGCACACATGAATTTTGATCTGGGCTAACGGCCAACCAGACTGTGTAAATGCAAAGGAATACTGTGTGGCTCTTCAGGGACAAACACAGATGGATGATAGACCCTGTGGAGATTCTTACCCTTTCCTGTGTTACAATGGTAGGAAAAAGATTTGTTGCCATAGTTATCCTACAATTGTGGGAGATTTATAATGTGTTTTTCAAAATTATCATTTTTTTTAATCTTTCACAGCCAAAAACACAAGTTACATCTTAGTGATGGAGAGCCGCTCCTGGTCAGCGGCTCAGTCGTACTGCAGGACATACCACACAGACCTGACCAGTATAAGAAGCAAAGAGGAGAAATCCAACATCACGCTCACTTTGAATGGATCAGGGGTTCAGTATGTGTGGATTGGCCTCTACAGGGATCCCTGGGCCTTCTGGTCTGACAACACAACCTCCACATTCACTAACTGGATGTCTTCTGAGCCTAACAATGGAAATTCAATTGAGTACTGTGGAGATTTGAATTTACTGACAGGGGAATGGTATGATTGCTACTGTGATGTCAGACTCTCTTTTTTCTGTTTCACAGGTGAGGTCCAGAATGCAAACACTGTAAGATCCTGTCATCATGTAAAACACTAATGTTTGTGTTGTTATATGTGGTTCATTTTTAGCAGTGACAAAGCAAACAGTGGTGAAAATGAAGCTTCAGTCAGAGGCAGACATGCACAGCACAGAGATCCAGCAGCAGGTTTCACAGCAGGTCAGCAGTTCAGTCACCAACACAAACTTGACACAAGTTCAAACTATGCTTCATGTTTTTCATCATCTGCACATTTTGTCCAGCTGTCAGGCCTCATGCTGTCAGAAGGACTGACAGACTTCAGGATTCGTTGGAGGAAAGTCCAGAGTTACCGTGACGACCAGTCGAAGAAGCAGGATGTGGACGGTGACTGCAAAACTGAAGTCTGACTGGACTGAACCACTTCATGTGTGAAGTTAATAACATGCTGTGCTGAGCTGTCTCATCCTTTGAATCTTTCAATATTTCAGAGTGTAAAGTTCCACCAACAGCTCATTTGTTCAGCTGCAGTTGTAGTTTGGTAGAAATTCTTTAATCAGAGGTCCACTCACTAGTTTTCCTGATAGGCTCTAGTCTCTTGTTTTGTTTTGCAGTGTCTCTTTCAACACTTTCAGACACTGTCCTTCTGTGGACGTTTCACTGTGATAACTATAAAAATATCAGCCATAAATGGACCATAGACGAGCCCTCAAACTTATACCTGACTTCAAATTGATCAGGAACCCGCTGTAATGCTGCTGAGATGTCCTCGTAATCTCTAAAGTTTAACTTCAATTTAACTCTGTAGTGGCTGGAGAGCCAAATTAGCTGTAGTCATACGTTATTCTATGATATAGTTTTAGCCTCTTACTTTTCCTATGACCTGTAGGGACAACAGGAAGGATTGATCACCACCACATGATACGCAAACCGACCTATTTGGAAGTAAGTCATACATATATATATCATATAATATAATAAACAATCAATAGTAAAATGTCCAATCCCAATGTTCCCAAGAAGTACCTACAGTTTATCATACTATGATTTTAACCACAGGTTAACCGAGACACCAATTCCAGCACAAGAAAAAAAAATAGGCATGTAGGTAAGCAGATTTGGGATTGGGCTGTAGGAAAATAATCTGTAAACATTATATAAATATGTATTACTGTACCTCAAAGATAATCAATAAAATTAGAGTATCTACTGCTTTCTGTTTTGTTTTGTTGTTTTGTCTTCAAAGTAAATGTTTTCATCTTATACTGTAGTTAACATGACAGAAAAGCTTTTATTGTTGCACTTTGAGAGTGAAAATGCACAATACTAACTTACTCACATGCAGCTGTTCACATGTCCAGCTGTGAGGTGTTTGAGGGACGGTTCATTCAAAGACAAAATATATGTGAGAAATTCCTGATCTGTCCACAACCTCTCCAACAAACAGGAACGAGTAGGCAGAGATGATACAAACACATCTTTTTAAAATCATGTAATGCTCTAAATCAACTTACCTCAAAATGTATAAAGCATATAAACATCTACAGCAATATTATGCCACAAACACAGCAGTACTATCAATAAAAAATACTCCATGTCTCCTATAACTGAAGAAAAAAATGGCATTTACTTCCAGGTACATTCTGGTGCTGATACTTCAGGTTTTTGTCCTTTATACCTCTTCCTTGAAGGGCATGAGTCGTAATACACGGTCCAGCTGTGTGTAAATTGTGCTTCATTTGTATAGTTTACACACTCAGCCAGCGGCTGAACTGTTGCTGCAGCTGTTGGTGCTGATGTCAGAAGGAAGAGGATCTATCTATTTAACATTCATGGTGTGAGTAAGACTAAAAACACACCCTCACATAATAAAAGTATTTCTGCTGCTGTGATATTTTTGTTAGTATATTGCCAGGGAAGCGTGACCGAAAAGTAATGAGTAAATAAGTGCTAGCAGGATATTGTATGGAATGAGAGGAACTAAATGTAAGGCAGAATTCAGTAAAAAAAAAAGCGAGCTATTTATTTCAGGCTGGGGAAAGTCATTGACAACAAAGTCCAAAAAGGTGAGCAAAGAGAAGACCAATAAAGCATGAGGGAAAAGAGAAACACTTGGAATAAACCAAGAATACTTCTAAGAAGCTTAAGCCAAATGCATCATTTGCACAGTGTACTGCCAGCTACACTTCCTCATTTTAACCCTCAGCTCCAGGTTCTCTATATATAAAAGAAGTTCAGACGTTGTGGAGCTTTAACCTCAGCTGACGAAAACTAAGAATGCACTTTAAACTGTCGAAGAAAAGGCAACAGTTCAATCAGACTAAATTAGAACTTGTGATTTTTGATTACGTTGAACCCTAAAATGTATCTTCTTTGTCATGTCGTATTATGTTGTAATTTCATTGGCTGTCAGAAACTGCTACACGTACATGATCCTCTGTTGGTTGAGTCTAAGGCTACGTTCACACTGCAGGCGAAAGTGCATCAAATCCGACTTTTTTGACCCTATGCGACGCATATCCGATCATGGTGTGACAGTGTGAACGGTGTGAATCCGATATTTTCAAATCCGACCTGGGTCACTTTCGTATGTGGTACTGAATCCGATACATATCTGATGTTTTAGAAAGCGACTGCTGTTTGATGATCATGTCGCATTAAATCCGTCTTTTACGTCACTGACACAAGACAGACGCCAATTATCAGCGCCGGAGAAGCGCCCGAGAAGACATCGTGAACGCTTCCTGGCCATCCGGTGTAGATGTTAGTGAAACTGTTGGGAACAACGTTGGAGAAACGTGAACATTTTATTTGTACTGTATAATCTGCAGATTCTGACAGAAATCTGCAGCTATCCTTTGAAGCACCGCTCCTCTAAAACAGCAATAAAGATAATTATTTTGTTATTTACATTATTATGTAAATAACAAAATAACTTAAAGCAAAAATTGGGAAACGTAAAGTCCGAAGTCTTTCTATTAAGGGCCATCAGTCAAACAGTATTGTTTGCTCTGGGTCTAAACAGAGCGCGTTGTGTGTGACGTCTTGTTTTGCACATGTGGGCCTCTTTGAGCGTTCACACTAGAGAGCGTTTGCTGTCACATTTTATTTGCAGTGTGAACAAGCAGACAAAAAAATCGGATTTGATCAAAAAATTCTGAATTGAGCATTAAGACCTGCAGTTTGAACGTAGCTGTCAGCATGCGTCATAGCATCGTACAGAGACTAGTTTAAATGTGACTTTATGTTCCAGCTGAAATAAAGAAAAGATGTCAAAGGCAACCACACAACTTTTTTACGCCTCTTTCCTCTGAAGGTAAGATGTGTGTGAATATACTTTGACAAGATGTAGTGTATACTGTTATTGATGCATCTCGGCTCTTTCTTTATACTTGCACAAAAAAACGTTGACTTCCTGGTTCTTTTAGATTCGTGTATATCTGAATTCTGTTTCATTTGTTGTGCCGTAAACTTAACCAATCTGATCTATTGCAGCCATCGCCTCTCTTACCCCTGTGTTACATATTCACATAATCTTGTGAATATGTAGGTGGCTAATGTTTAACTTGGAAGTTTCACTTATTTTTTGGTTTTTGGTTTTTTTGTATGTTATTTTTAAGAGGACCTGTTTTTGTTGTTGTTCTCTTTGTTTTTAGCCAGCAATATTTGATCGACATTTTATTTGGTCACTAAACTGCCAATTCAATTTATTTCTAAAGCACCAAATCACAACAACAGTCACTTCAAGGTACTTTATATTGTAAGGTAGACACTACAATAATACATACAGAGAAAAACCCAACAATCATATGACCCCCTATGAGCAAGCACTTTGGCGACAGTGGGAAGGAAAAACTCCCTTTTAACAGGAAGAAACCTCCAGCAGCTCAGGGAGGGGCGGGGCCATCTGCTGCAGATGCAAAGACAAACAAGAAGCTCAGCTTCTAAACAACATCACCTTGAAGGCTCAACTTCTTCCTGGTGGTTAATGTGAAAGAGAAACATTTCTATTTTTCTCATCACGATGTCAATTAGACCTGTTTGTCATCTGCAGGTTCACCAGGAGGACAGAGCGAGCACAGAGGAGGTCATACTAAATCTGCTGCACTATCACTTTTTCTTGTGCTGCTTGTTGTTGTCACTGCTGCTGCTGGTGGTTTTTTAATCTACAGAAACTGTAAACGAGAACGGAGTAAGCCTCCTGCCGAGCAAGGACACAAACTGTCCTAGATGTCTCCTCATTCAGATGTCAGCACCTCCATCAGTGAGCTCTGTTATGTGTAACGCATATACACTAAGATATACTTCATCACTCCCCAAAGCAACAACAGTAAAGACTATCAAAAAAGAAAACCAGAGTAGAAGAAGCTCTTTTACTGCAGGGGTCGCCACAGCTACACGTGTTTAGCACATGAAACTAAACATGTTTGGCAAACCAAAAGGATTTGTGTCTTCATGTTGGAGAAGAAACACTCCAGAGAAACTTTAAACAAACTAGTGGAGAATCAGTATTAGAATATGATAGAAATCACTTTAAAAGAACCTGAAGATAAATAAGTAGAACTCTAAATAATATTACTTTGAAAACTGAGTAAAAAGCTAAATAAAACACAAAAGAGTGACATATGGCTACATTTGCCCAATGTGAACGACTAAAATAAAACTTTATAGATCTGATCAGAAGCCATTGTTGCTTTTGTTCAGCAGTGCAGAGTATATGAGGCATCATCAGCAGGAGTGCTGTTATGACCTGTTTATAAGTCCTCATTTCTCAGTTTGCACATCTCCGACTCCTCTTCCTCCCTCTCATTAGAGATGAGAGCTAAATAGCTGAGGAAGAAACAGGAAGGAGAGACAACAGATTTTGATCACACTGAGAAATCCGCCGCTCAAAGCTACACTATAAAAGTGATGTCTGGATTTATGATCTAAGATGTCTGGATGCTCATGATATTTTTTTTGCATTAAATGTGTTTTTTATCATCACTTTAAAGACAGAGAACAGGTATATGAGTTGCATTACACATTCACTAGAATGCATTATAATTGTGTTCTCATTTAAAAAGACTTTAGAGCTCTGTCTGCTTGATCAACGTGGCAGTAAAATGTTGACTTTTATTTCACTTTATTGTCTCCTGTGCTGTTGTATACATGTGTTTCTAGTACACATATGTTTGTGTATCTATTTACCAGATCTATCTGTCTGTGTGCTGTAAATAAGTTCACATCATGGCAGCGTGACCGGCATCAGAGTGTCTTTTACTTGCTGATGGAAACAATGACGAGCTGTTTTTTCATTTTATCATCACAGTCAGTGTTCACGTGACTCAAACTCGGGTTGGGATGTCATCGATCAGGCCTGATGGTTTGTTTTACACACATCTCGTAGTTTGGCAGCTTAGATTTTTATACTGATGTCTCTAATTATTATTAGGATTGTTGTTTTAATTTTGAAAGTTAAAAAAAAACATGCTGTGACGGGACAATAGAGAGGAATTGACAAACTCTGCTAAGTAAAACAATCAACCCTAACCTGATCGTCATTCACGAATTAGAACAGGTGAAAATGTTTTCACATATTTATTATCTCTTAAACTCAGTTGATCTCAGTGAGGTTCTTGGAGATTTGGATAGAAAGGGGTGACATGTTGCAGGAAAGCAGAAAATGTCATAATGTTGGAGTATTTAAAAAACTTTAAATTTTGTGCTGTTAAAATTTTAACTGAAGTTCAATGGCACAGCTGGCCAAATACAATTCTCGCGGAAAACAAAGAAGAGTTCTCAGCTTCCTCGAAGTGAAGATAAAACGCCACGACCCCTTTATTTCAACGAGTGTGTGTATTTACCCAGTCTGACCTCGAGGCGGCGCATTGTCATTGGACAGACGAGCGGTAGTGACAGGAAGCGGAATTGTCGTTGGATCATTGTGCTCTTGGAGCTGGCGGCGGGATAACTGTGCGGCTGCTGGTAGCTGTGACGGGCTTGTTTCTGAGTTTAAAACAACAAATCTCAGGTAAGAAAAACACCTTAAACTCAAAAATACGCACAGATAAAGTAGCGGGGCCGAAGCGGAGGGATACATCTCTGTGAACAGGCTCATCTGGCTCCGTGCTAACGAGCTAATTAGCAGCTGTTAGCTTCGTTAGCTATGAAATGCTATATGCTGCTAATGGTAGCGTTTGATTTGTCTTAGTGAAAACTTTTAAACCCTTAATATTTGCGTCTCCTAACGATCTGGGGCTGCCGGGAGTTTGCGTTGAGCCTGTCCTTAAATTAAAAGCTTTTAAAGAACTCAAGGACAGGAGCTAGCAGGCTAATTAGCAGCCAATGTATCAGTGAGGAGTCACATAAACAAACAGAGTTTATAATAAATATTTCAAGATAAACTGTGAAAGAGCAGCGGTGTTTAAGCTGATACACACTGCTGCTTATGTGCTTTTATATTAGCAGAGGTGGAAGACGGCATAAGAATGATTGTTAAGCAGAGGGGCGTTTCAGCTAAGGATGTTTATTTCCTCAGTAATGGAGATTTTCCTATCTCAGTTTTTCTGTGAGAGCAACAGACCGGTCGGGCTCTGTGGTTTCTCATTCAAGATCTCCTGCACGTCTCAGGAAAATGTGTAAAACCTGAAGCTAAAGTAAGAACATTAAACATTGAACCTCTTAGAATTCTACACAACGTGAATTGCATGAAAAGCACGTCAGTGAGTGAAGTAAACATATCAGCGCAGAAGCGGAGTTTGAATTAATATTTATAAATGGAAAATGGCCTGTATTTGTATATCGCTTTACTTACTTACCCCAACGCGCTTTACACATCTAGTGTACACCCATTCATGGTAAGCTACATTGTAGCCACAGCCGCCCTGGGGCACATTGACAGAGGCGAGGCTGCCAAACACTGGCGCCACCGGGCCCTCTGACCACCACCAGTAGGCAACGGGTGAAGCGTCTTGTCTTCTTATGACAGCGGAGTTCTGGATATGATGGAGTCTGTCCAGTGCTTTGCTGGAGATTCAGAATATGGATGAGGGTCTAATACAGAGTCGATGAGTGGTGGCCAAAGTCGAGAGACTAAACTGGATCATTAAATACAAGCAAAATAGAATCAAAATATTTTCTGCTTCAATGCAGCGTTCACATCTGGTGTGAAAGAAAATTAATGCAAATATTGGAAACACAAAGTGACATGCAACAACCTCATTCGACTTTAAAGGAATAGCTGTGAGAGAGTGAAGTGACCACCAATCCGAGTGAAGAACTGTTGATTGACATATAACGTGGTTATAATTACACTCACTACTATGTTACATGACAATCAGCTGGATTCTTTACCGTTATTGGTAGAGCTCACTTTTCACTCACTCACCTGAAAGTTTACCATGGGCCCGCCCACTTCCCATCACCTATAGTTATTGTTCCCCTAATTTCCGGCTTCTGGACAGACTTTCCTCGCAGATAAACACAGTCAGGAACCGTCACAGCAGATGACATTAAAGTAGATCAAAAATCTTCATTCCTGATGTGAAAAATAAAACACAGTTCCTCTGAGTGGCGATGGTTTAGCACATTAAGTGCGTTTATTACCTGCAGCAGGAGGTATTAGGCTACACCCCTGAGAGGATTTCACACACCTCAAGGAGTCAGTGTGGGTTTAGGCGCTTAGAGCGTTAAACCTGCAGGCAGGAGGTGATGGGAGTCAATCTAGTGTGGGAGATTTGTGTTTCTCTTGGTCCTGCGTTGGTGTAAATTTATTGCATTTACAGGTTTTTCATTCTCTGAATTTATTTAAGGTTTATTTTGACAGTTTGAACAATTATTTATTTAAACACCTTCATACTTGGTGATTTAAAGTTGCTGAATGATGCAGAAAGAATCTCTGATGTTAATATCTGTTTGCTCCTTTAGACCGATGGGAGACAGCGATGACGATTTGGATCGGAGGAGGCGGGACAAGTTCAGGCGGGAACGCAGCGACATGGAAAGGTCACGAGAGCGCGAGGAGAGGAGGAGAGACGACTGGCCCGACAGGTGGGAGCTGGTGACTATTCCGATCGTTAAGTTATTCGTTTTTAATCCGGAGAGAAAGATCAGACGAGCCGACGCATCTGACAGTCAGAGTTCAGCCTAAACCTACAGAGGCTCATTTACTGCATCAAACTGCTGCAGAGCTGCTGTCACAGAGAGGCAGCTGCTGCCATCTAGTGGCCTAGATGTAGTAGTGCAGTGATGTGGTCCTTTGTTTAACATTGAAAAGTTTCCCACACAGCTGTATTCTTTATGCATGCCGTACTTATCTCTAATCACATCTGACACATTTGTTTCAGAGTTCATACAGTTTGTTATCCAGCTGTAAACATCTGTCCTAACATCAGCGTATGAATGAGACATGTTATTGGAAACTGAGTCGTCAGGATTTATTATGGCTGAAGAAAGTCGCCGACTTCATCCCGACAGGTTTGTCCGCTGTGTGATGTCAGCTCTCTGTTTGTTTCAGGGACTGGGACCGTGGCCGCGAGCGGAGGCGGGACTATGACCGCGGCCGCAGAGAGAGGTTTTCTCCGCCCAGACACATCAGCCCTCAGCACAAACGCATGAGGAGAGAATGGTGAGGCCTGTGTGCGAGAAGCAGCTGCAGACTTCAGGTTCTGCTCCGTGTTCCTGCTGTGGTTAATAATTCTCGTTTCACCCTCAGGGACGACCACAGGGGGGAGCCGTACCGCTATGACCTGCCATACGGTGGCGGCGGGGCTCCATTTCCAGGGGCGGGGCCTCAGGGCTGGCACCCAGATTTTCCTCACCTTCACCCACATCATGGAGGCCACCCTCTGCAGGGCAGGTGAGCTCAGTCAGAATCATTTCTGCCCCCTAGTGGCTCCAACAGTTTTCACCTGGATTATTTATCACCTGAGTTTTGTGTCTCAGGTTGGGGATGGTGGATCCAGACCTCCCTCCTCCCGGTCCTCCTACCATGAGGAGCTTTAAGGTGGGTCTCTGATTTAAAAAAAATAAGGAGGCATCAAAGCATCTGTTTGGCGAGGTTATGACATCATGTCTGTGATGCGTTTGCAGGAGTTCCTGTTGAACATGGAGGACAGCGTGGACGAGACGGAGTCCGTGAAGCGCTACAACCAGTACAAGCTGGACTTCAGGCGGCAGCAGCTGCAGGACTTCTTCCTCCAGCACAAAGAGCAGGAGTGGTTCCGCTCCAAGTACCACCCCGATGACATCGCCACCAGGAAGGCAGAGTCTCTGGCCGCCCTCAAAACCCGACTCGGCGTCTTCCTCTTCCTCATGGACAACAACTGGCTGGATAACGTATCGCTCGACATGGACCACGCCCCTGCCATCATTAAACTCCTCGATGCAGGTAAACTGGACAGGAAGTGAAGTGAGACGGGGTTTGTGTGTAATAAAGTCTTTAACCTGTGTGTCTCTGTGCAGCTGTGATAAAGATGGAGGGAGGAACCGATTTTGACCTGCAGGTCCTCGAGGTCCAAGCGAATGCAGCAGGAGCCGGTGGAGATGCGAGCGGAGGAGGAGGTGTAGGCGAGAAGAGTCAGGCAGATCCCAGCGGAGGAAGCGTGGGTGGTCAGACCAGCTCAGAGGCGACTGTAACTCAGATGAAGGAGACGGCGAGCGGTGACGCGGGCGATAACAAAGACACAGAGAAGGTGACGTCTTCGAATATCCTCAGCATTGTTCCCTCTGGCACTGCTGGCACGGTCTCTGCGCACAAAAAAAAATACCTGAATTGAAATTAAAATTAAAGCTTCAACAATTCTGTTTTGCAGTGTTAGTCAGTGACTGGCTGCTCCCGTATGGGATCAGAACGATGCCACCTTATCCCACAGTCCAGCCAATGATGCGATTCACATTCGTATATACGCAGCTAATCAACGTCGTTGACAGGCTATGACAGCGTCCTTATGTGCCGACACCGGTGTTTTAGCAAAGCGGCTGATGTGGAGTGAAGCCACGTTAATGACAACGTGTACAACCATTGGAGATGTGAGCAGGACAGACGGAACAACTGACGGACAAAGTGTGGACTTTATACCAGTTTTTAAATTGTGTTGATCGGCCACGTAAAACCAGAGTTATGATAAAAATATCTGCAATGTTTGTTTTTCTTCCTGAATACTGTCGTTGTTTATATTTACTGCAGGAAGAAACGGTAAAAACGGCGTTTTATAAGGAAAACGCTCGAAAGCCTGTGAACAAAAACAAAACCCCAGCCTTTCCAATTGGTGGAAAAATGTACCATGTCAACCAATCAAAAAATGATATGGGATTTAGTTTAGTTTAGGAAGGGGGAAGTTTTAGGAGTGACGGCGGTGTTTTGAGATGGGAGAGATTTTCGACGTTTAGCGCAAATCTTGTGTAGTTAGTGTGTCAATAGTTTTGTTGTGTGTGTCAGAACAATGAGGCGACTGCTGAGTGTTACAGGTGTTACAGACCTGCAGGTATCAGGCTGTTGTTCTCCTTTATCTCATAGTGGACAGAAATTATTTTTTGGAGCGGCACAAATAATTTGTGTGGCATCAGATTTGATGCAGAACAGCTGATTGTTCTGTAAATAGTTTGAAATGTTTATTTAAAAAACGCCTTGGCTGCATTTTTAGGTAAACAGCTGCAAAAAATTTGTTTGCAAAACTCAGTAACTTTTTTGAAGAAGTAACTTATAATTAATTGCTCCAACATTGGTCATTATTTACTGTATTTTGCAGACAGAGTTACAGACTCTCTCACCAGACCACAGACTCATATACAAGTCAGAGCTTTAAAAGTTGTGTTTTCAAAATTGGAGTTCAAGTTATTTTTACTTCCAATAGTGTTAACATGCTACACAGGTCATGAACAAGATTTTATTAAATTTTCATTGTAAGTGGGCTAAAGCAGTTAATTAAAAGTAGTCTAACATAAATGTAAATGTTGTAATTTGATTATTTTATATAAACATGTAACTTGGATGCTGGCGTGACCACAGTGCACACGTCTGCTGTTGCTCACAGTGGACCAAGGGACGCTCAGGGAGTTTGTGTGTTGCTCAGACACATGAAACATTAGAGGGAACATTGATCCTCAGTTTACTGAACTGGACCCAGTCTCTTCCTGGCTGGGTCACATGACTTTGAATTATTAACTACTGTAGAGAAGAAACAGGTCACGGGTTGAGTGACAGTCTGTTCAGTGTTACATTAAATAATCACATCCTGACACAACGGCGTTCAGACTGACCTTAACCATCGTATTTTCTTTCCTCTCTCAGGACTCAGCCGATGCCAAGCGTAACGGGAAGAAGGAGAAGGACGACGACGAGGAGGAGGAGGAGGAAGAGGAGAAGAAAGAAGAAGAAGATGAGGAAGAAGAGAAGAAGACCAAGAAAGTGAGTCTTTTGTCTTTTGTCGCTGATGTTCCTTAATGTTACATCGCATTGTTAATCCCTCCTCTTTCTCTCAGGGCAGGAAGAGGAAACGCAGCCTCTCTGCTGACAGCGGCGAGGGCAGTGCCTCCGACTCTGACTCCTCCCACTCTGATGGAGAGAAGGATGAGGACGAGGAGAAGGAGGAAGAGGAGGACGACGGAGAGGATGGTATTTATTTTTTTGAACTCTGAAATGTTGAAACACTTCTCAGACTTCAGTCTGAAGTGTTTTGCTGGTTTGTTTCAGAGCGTCGTAAAGAGCGAGGGAAAGAGAGGGAGAAGGAGGCTCCACCCAAGCCCCGCCCCCTCCACCTCACCACCTCCCTATTCATCAGGAGCATCCCGCCAGAGGTGTCCAAGGATGAGATCACAGCTGTAAGAAAACGTGCCTTTACAGGGTGAAGCAGTTGTTGCTAAGCTCAGACTAACTGGTGGACATTTGAGGAACTGCAGCTCATTTTTCAAACCTATAGGTTGGCACTGTTTAGGCTCCTCCCTCCAGAGAGTAGGACATTATTAAAATAAGTTTGGACAAGTAAATAATGACAAACCAACAAAGGAGGAAGGTTTTTAATTATAGTTGGGATTCAGCAAGAAAAATTAGGTTGTTTTTAATGAACCAGCACTGCTATGTGTTCATGCTCCCTGGGAGAAATCTGACCATTTAAAATTTAACTGCTGCTCTGCAAACAAAACTGTGCAGAACTATGAAATACTGCACCATGAACTGGTTTATTTATTATTTAACTTATAAATAGTTCAAAGTGAAATATCATTTTTACCCAGAACATTTTTTTTAGCTCAGAAACTTTCTTTGTTTGTGGTGTTCAAGCTGAAAGCTGTGATTTTGACTTACACATATGTGGACATCACATTTTGGGTTATTTAAACTAAAATACTCAATTTTGCTCTACAAGGG